TTTCAACAGGTCTTTCAATTTCAGTCCCGTTTTCATCACAGTCATGTTTTTTTATTTCCTTGTTCATTGTGACAGTGTGAACGCTGGAGAATAGTTTCTTTGGAAGATTTTATATCATTCAATGTTGACATTTCTATGTTGAACTCATACTTTTTACAATATTTCTAAAGTTGTTCTTTTCCTCTTATTCCCATCATCTTTTGCACCAATACAAACCATTAGGGTGAAATAAGCAAAAGCAATTATCAAAAGTAAATTTCCTGAAAAACAGAAATTTCAAATCAGTTACATATCACCCACACAGTTCAAATATACATATCAAAATCATGTCCTGATATGAGGAATTCCGGATATGAGGGATACCGGATATGAGGAATTCCAGATATGAGAGATTCTACTATAATGATATAACGATATATAATTTCTTATAATTTTATATATCAACAGTATTTATAAAAATAATGTGACAAACTGGAAAAAATGTTTTTGTGACGAGTTTTATCAGATAGTTATTTCAGTCCGATGAAATTCTAACGGATGAAATGCGTCATAAATATTTTTATAATTTGTCATACTATATATATATATATATATATATATATATATATATATATATATATATATATATAGTAAATAAAATTTGTCACTTAGATTACCTTCAACATGCCGATTTTAGAGTTTCGTAGACGGATCCTCCACTCGAACAGCCCCTTCCCGTGATCCACTGCCCTGTGGAACCAACTCCCTAAGACGATGTTTCTCCGATCATTATAATCTTAACCTGTTCAAGGCTAGAGTTAAGCGTTATATTTTACTCTTATCAGCACAAATTGTTTCATAACAACCTTTTACCTCGAGTGGCCCTCGGGCATTGAAAAGGGTGAACCTTACTGTAAGAAAATCACACCATTTTGACGAATTCAAATGGGCCTCTTTGAATTCAAAGCCGTTTTGAAATGCGCTATTAAATCTCTGATGTCAACGTAGCATCGATTGGTGGTAACTTGAAATTGAAGCAAAAACTCTTTCAAAAACCTTTTTTTTAACACGAAGATCCATTTGGTGCTGTTCTCTCGCCCGTTACTTAATATACTTGTAAAATATCAATTTCCTTTTTAATAGCCAGTGACTAGTCTGTTCTAAAATGATCAGATGTGGCTATGAGGGCGTGAACAAGAGCAGATATCCAGCGTTTTTGTATGGTTACGAGCTCATTCAAACGTAGCGTTTCTATTTCTATCAAGGTCTGACAAAAGTCGGCCATCGTTAAACCCAACAGGTTGACCTGTTCGGGGTGCATCTATTAAACTGAAGCCATAGTTTCAAAACGCTTTAGTTTTGCCATTTTCTTTAGTCTAAAGAACCTCTTCTATAAACACAAAGCTTCACCTCTATTAATTTATTGCCGACATTGATTTATATACTTGTAAAATATTCACTTTTTTCAATCGCCAGTGGCTAATCTGTTCCCAAAATGGCGAAATGTGTCTACGAAGGCGTGAAGAAGAGCAGATGTCCAGTGTTGTTTTATGGTTTGGAACCTACTTTCTAAATTAAGGTTACCTCGTCAAGTTCCTTCAACCCTTGCAAATGACAGAAAAAAATGGCTTGAATCAATCCAGTTTTTAACTAAGTCGATCATCGTTAAATCCAACAGTATCCTTCAACCGTTGTTTCAAAACCTTTTTTTTTTTCTTTCAAAGATCTTCTATAAAAAAAGCTTCACCTCTCGAACATCGTTAAATCCAACAGTATAACCTCTTCGTGGCGTATCTATTAAACTGAAGCCATTGTTTCAAAACGCTTTAGAATCATTCTTGCCATTTTCTTTAGTCTAAAGAACCTCTTCTATAAACACCAAGCTTCTCTATCTTTATTTCCATTTTTATAGATTCACAGTTTTGTGCTCACCAGACATTTTCATATTTGAAGAATCTCACTGATTGAATCCTGTGGCAACATAAATTATTTAAACCTGCAAAAACACTAACAAACATGTGTCGTTATTATTTCGGCATTATCATTCAATCTTTCGCTATTAGATTTCCATCACTGAAGTTCATGACGAAGGCAATGAGAAGCGAATGCAAAGCGGACGTTAAAATAAAAAGTGTATCTTCCAGTGGGTCTCACTTTTCTCTCTATAATTCGTTATCTGACATTATCGTTGGTAAATGATTTTGTTTCAGTTTTAAGTATTTTTTGTGTTTTATGACCTGCGGTGAAGTATGTGGAATCAGGTCTTCAAAAGCGACCACCCACTTGACTAAAAGATAATAGAAAAAATATGTGAAAACTTTTGAGAAAAAGTGACAACAAACTGGACGTTGAGGAATTCTGGTGGCAAGCTTATATAACGTCCCAGATAGGATTGAAAATAGTTGTGACCCACCGTTATCAGGGACATGCTGCTCTTACAGGGTAATGATGATACCGCTAGTTAGAGTTGTCAGCAGCGCGTCGTCATATAGAGATAGGCAGAAAGGTGGTAGACGCTAGACAAAGTTCTTGCTGGTTGAAAAGAAGAGCTGATATATCAAAGCGGAAGTTATCATGTCATAGCGGAAGTTATTCTAAATATCATGAGAATGTATAAATGAATCCCTGAATAAATGTTATTTAAACTATTTATATCTACTAGGCTATCCACGAAGCCATTGTCCCGTGGAACTACAAGAGAATGGCCTTGTCGATTAAAGCAATGTTCAGTGAATTTGGTGAGATCAATTCCTGGGCCGGGCAGTGTGTACTTGGACTATTATAAACAAGAACTGGATAATATAGTCCTAGCCATGGGAAGTGGAACGAGAAGAGTCTACTCCCGTCGATTAAATAAAGGGTTCGGTGCAGAATTCTCTGTAGGCTACCCAGATCGATATACACCTGAGGAAGGCCGGAAAGCATAATAACAAAACGGAAAAAGAAAGAAAGGAAGAAAAGGAAAAAGAAAGAAAAGTAGAGAAAAAAAGTAAGACAAGACAAGAAAAGAGAGACCGAAAAGAAAGCAAACGAAAGAAAGAAAAAGAAAAGAAAGAAAAACGAAAAGGAAGGAAAAGAAGGACAGAAAGAAAGAAGAGGAAGAAAAAAGAAAAGAAAAGAAAAGAAATAAATAAAGAAAGAAGAAAGGAAAGAGAGGAAAAGTAAGATAAGGAAGGAAAGAAAAGAAAGTAAATACGAAAAGAAGGGAAAAGGAAATAAAAAAGAAAATATAGAAAAAACGAAAAGGAAGAAAAGAAAGCAAGCAAGAAAGAAAGAAAAAAGAGAAGGAAAGAAAAGAAAGGATAAGAAAGAAAGGAAAAGAACGAAAGAAAAAAGAAAAGAAAGAAAAACTAAAAGGAAAAGAAAGACAGAAAAAGAAAAGAAAAGAACGAAAAAAAAAAAAAAGGAAAAAAAAAGAAGAATTTTTTGAGTCATTCCTGAACAGAAGTCAGTGTAGAAAGCTAATAAATATAGACTTAATGGATATCAGCTCGAAAAGAGAATCGGCGTATCGAGTTCGAATACGTTCACATTCCCTTTCGCGTCAATAGCCTTGCAAATGGTATAAATCCTTTTCTTATCTCCTCTTAGCTGTAGGCTAAACTTGCAAAGCAGACTTGGGTCCTCGGGAATATTTGGTCAAGCAGTCCAGGAAAAGTACAACTTTAACAGAAGCCAATACCTGCAACATCACGTCTGATGAGGCTATGGCCCTATTTTCTACAGAGTTGTCTAATGGCACCAACGAAAAGGGGAAGAATGAAACAGTCTTCAGGGGATTATATGGTCTCTGCTCAGCCTGTCTTTGGAAGAACACGAGTGCATACAAATATTGGAATGGAAGACGAGGCACGAAAAGAATAGAATTTTTCGCCTTAGGTCACAAGAATAGAATTCTTAGCCTTAGGTCACAAGAATAGAATTCTTGGTCTTAGATCACAAGAATAGAATTCTTGGCCTTAAGTCCCAAGAATAGAATTCTTGGATTTAGATCACAAAAATATTGTTCAAAGTGAGAATCGTATTCACTACTATTCTATATTCTATTTTATGGAGACCGGTAAAATAACCTTAAAAATCATGTTTGTTTATTTTACCAGGACCGGCAAAGTAGACTCTTGTTAGTTTTTCGCCCGGTATCAGAAGATGGTAATCTTGTTGAACCACTAAAATAACACAAAAACTTGGTTGGTAAATTAAGTATTAATTTTTATTGAAGCACGTGTGTGTACTAAACACGGGGGGTAAGAGAGTGGTCGACCTTAAGTCAACATGGCGTTGAGAGAAGCTGACTGAATTTCCTTTCCTTTAGGACCGCTGCAAAAACATGTCCGAATCCAATGAGTCGAAAGTATCCAGACATAGATGATCCGCTTTCCGGAAGTGGAGTCAGAAACTTTGCACGTGACCGGAAAACCTTTTTTTTGTTTCCATTTGCATTATGGGAAAATGAAATTATTTATTTTTTTTAATTATTATGTCTACTATTTATTTTATTTATTATTTAATTTTCCTTCTCCCACAATCCTACCAATTTCAACTGGGTATGTTAAACGCACCCACATTTCAACAAGACCTATTAGACGCACACCCTTTTACAGGGCATATTAGTCGCACATTTAATCAGGGCATATTTATTGTAATCACCCCCATTTTAGTAAGGCTTATTAGAAGAACCTCCATTTCAGCATTACGTATTAGTCGCCCCCCCCCATTTCAGCTGGGCATATTAAACGCAGAACCATTTATGTTGTTTAGCGGCATATCAAAACCTCTGAGTTCTTTAATGCCGAAATCTAAATAATTTTTACGCAATTTTATTTATTGTTTTGAGATAATAATGGTTTTAGTCATACAAGTCTTACTAATTAACCCATAACTGGAAGGAGAAGAGGTGGAGTTATGCCTTTCCCAAGGCTATTTGTGCGTAAGTGAATATAACGGAATCAGTTGGAAATGGAACTCGGCTCTCCGATTAACAATTCCGAGCCGTTATCCATTACACCACCCGCACATTCCAGCTTGCAGCACCTAGTATTCCGAAACGGTCACTCATCTAGGTACTGGCCAAACTCGACTTTGCTTAAATTCGGTGATCATATGAGAACCGATATTTCAGCGTGATGTGGCCGTAAACCGACGATTTATGTAGGGTCATATTAGACACCCCCCATTCAGGCGTGAATATTGCATGCACCCCCATTTCAGCTGGGTCGATTGCATTTTATGTAGATCGTATGAACCTTTTTCATAAGAATAGTGATAGATTTGCGAGAGGTTTATAACATTTCATATGTAGGAAAGAGTGGAAAATAATCCATCACCCAAATGGCCGTGTGGACCCTTTTGAATTTTATAAAAACTGGAAAGTAAAGCTTGAATAGCTCCAACTCGGATTTGGCAGGTGTGCTTAATATCCGGTCTGATGTGGATCTTGTAAAGATAGAGCATAGCAAGGGGGAGTCAGGTACTTACTGGAGCGGTACAGGGAACCGGTTATTTTCCCAACATCCTTAGCCATTGATCATATATACGGGTTTCACTTGAGATGCTGGGTGAGTTTCAGTCCCAACAGTCGTTCAAGGCAAGTCCCAGCACCCCCGTTCATCGCCATGGATGATAATTCATATTCTCCTTGGTGAGTCATCTTGAAACATTGAATATAACCAGTCAGTTTTTCCCTATTTCCGTTACTGCTAGGTCAGGGAAGAGATCAGCTGTCTAGACTTTTAGAAATGCTCTCATATACTATTGTATCATCATTATATATATATATATATATATATATATATATATATATATATATATATATATATATATAAAAAAAGGCTTAAACACTAATATTCCATGGTCATAATTTATTCCATTGGAATCGTAAATACGATCCAATTCATCAGACCTACAAATTCAAAAAGAAAACAGAAAAAACAACTCCGGAAATAAAAAATAGAATTTAGAGAGAGTGTAGGTATGAGAGTGTGGGACGAATGTTAGAGTAAATGAAAGCTAAAGAGAGGGGTAACAGACGAGAGAAGATGGGAGATTAAAGCATAACAGAGAGAAGTTTTAGAGATGTGAGTCGAAGACGGTTTAAGTGAGAGAAATATGAATGTTTTTGGATGTCTAATACATTAAAGATGTAACCGGAAAAGATACATTTTGTTGTGACATACACACACAATAGACGATCTAATCTTAAAGATCAGAAGAAGAGGGAGGGAGAAGTGACAACATGTTATAAAACGGTGTTTATATTTTGAATCGTTTCTTATGTCTACATTTAGAAAATATCTCATTACGAAGATTCAGCAACTCATCTTGATTCTTATCTTTAATAATAAATTTTTTTCCGCCATGCACAGATCACATCGATCGCGGAAGTTATTAGATGTTCTAGCTATTGATAAGTATATCCATTTTAAAAGTGGGGTTAGACCCTTATCCACCAGATCCCAGTAGTGTTTGGATAAGGAAGTTTGATTTCTGAGGTATCTATATCTAAATGAGCGTTTATGTTTGTATAGACGCTGCTTCCAATCACCGGCGGATATACCTATATATATTTTTTCTGGTTTATATTTTCCTCGGGAAAGATTGTTGCCTCGTATACTACATTTACCCCCGATTGGACAATGGTCTTTATTTCTACAATTGCAGGCAGGGTTACTAGATTGATTTTCATTACCATGATAGTTTCTAAGTATTCTACGATTATGAGAAGATATGATTTTCTCCATATTTCTAACGCATGAGTAACTAATTTTCAGTGTCTTCCTATTGAAAATTTTACGTAGTGGATATTTACTAGGAAAGTGTTTATCAATTAATTTCAGAAAGAAACTTCCTATATCAATGTTAGAGAGCCTGCAATATGGTGGGTTGAACCATATTACCTTCCTCTTTCTGTTTTTAGTCCTGTTATTATTCTGATTTACAAGTTCTCCGTTAAAGTTTAATTCTTGTCTAAAACCACTATTTTTGAGGCCTGATTGTATATAAATTTATTATCGTTAAAGATTTTTTGGCTAGAAGATAGCGTATTTGTTCTCGTATTCACAGTTTTGGGGTTGTGATCTATCATATGTTTAGGGTGGTTAGAGTGGACGTTGATGTATAGGGGTTTTTGATCAATTTTATGGAAGGGTTTAAAGGTATCATTCGATAGATTGAGTGTAATATCCAAAAAGTTGACTATTTTCAGGTTGGAAGATATTTCAATTTTAAGGCCTAGGTATTTGAAGGCCCTAATTATCTGGAAGTCAAGGGACCATTGCTATTTGGGACAATGATTAGGCCGTCATCTCTATAAATTCCGATTTGGTTAAGGCTAACTACTCTACTCAAATTGTCTAGAATATATGTGCCCACTAAATCTGCAATTTTGGAAGAATCAAAAGCTCCCATAGGTACATCGAAACTTTTATTATTCTTCTTCACCCATTGTATGTAAGTATTGATCTTCTTGACGCTAAAATAATGTCAAGATCATTATCCGTTATTTCGGTATATCCTTTAGCAAAATTAAGGCTGTTAATTAATAGTTCCTCCGAAATAGAAGGGTAAAAATCCAAGATGTCAAATTGGATGAAAGTGGCTCTTCTTTTGCTAGGGATCTTTCGGAACCATTTAATCGTCTCAGCCGAGTCTTTCCAAAGGTTGACTGGGTATTCATCCAGGGCACATGATGTTATTTTCTTGATAATACTCTTGGAAATTAATCCCAACTCAGATTTGGAGGGATTAATTAGACGGGACTGCAAGCTATTGATAAAGTTCGGCTTATGATCTTTGAAGAGAATGTATGCATCTTTCATATTAAATTTTCCCATTCTGTCAACAACTCCACATTTGTTAGCAAAATTGCAGATGTCTTCATTGATAGATGATAAGGTGCTATTGTATTTAAGATATTTTTATGTTTATACATTCTTTTTATAGATACAGATATTTAAATAAATGCTCTGTTTATAATAAACAGTTTTAAAAAACATTTACCGGCCTGAATGTCCGAGAAATTTTCATAAAAAATTATTCGTCCTCCCACAGGAATCGAACCTGTATCCTATACAGAACCGTCATATAGCTTGACGTGCCTTTAACCGATTTGGCCATAGAGGAGCGTTCGGTTAGCAAAGTCAATTTTACTGTCTTTAAACTACAATCTTCCATGATTCTCTTACGTATATTCATATCTGCTCATGGCGTATCCAAATGTAAGACATTTTTATGTTTATACATTCTTTTTATAGATAAAAGATACAGGCCGGAGCGTACAACGGCCGAAGCGTTGTAATAAATATGGCGACAAAGATGAGGACAATAGTCTGAATAATGTACATAATGTATATAATACCTCAATCTCAAAAATGTAGACAGAAACATTCTTGTTGATTATAGTCTCAAAGATTTTGCTGATGACACTTTAGGAGACTGATGGATCAGTACAGGGCTGAATACTCACTAGCATTGTTTAAAACAGAGCATACGATTCATATCTGCTATAGACTTGGAAAGGAGTTCTCCTTTAGTCAGTAATAAAATAATTTTGCTAATATCAAAGATAACTATATTCTTAAATATTCTTAAAGACAACTATTTTGGGGATTTTATCTGAACCGGTAGCATTTTCGGATCAAGGCTTTTGATATGTCTTGAAAGTTGCTGGTCTTTGATAGAAATATTAGTAATATTGCACTCCATGCGAGGGAGGGGAATCGGAATGAGTTGGCCCATGTTGTCTGACGTAGATTGTAGCGAAGAGCTTTGCCTTATCCGACGAGGATGGAAAAAACCAGTACCATTTATGATAGGCACTGACACTTTGCATATATTTAGAATTTGGTTCGATAATGTCCAGAACTACCCGAATTTGCTTTCGACCTTGTCTTGCATTACTTGTGCATAGCTGCACTTTGCATTTTCCAGAACTCTCTTTCAATAAGTGCTATCAGTGTTGAATGCAACAACCTTTCATACTAAATCGTTCCCCCTCTGATAGATATTCTAGAAGTAGTTACTCTGAGCTATGGATGCAGCATATTCTACGGTTGACTATTCGGTTTTTGTTGGTATTTATTCTGGGGTATAAAAGTTTCCATGCCAGAAAGAATCCAATCAGGTCTGGAGGCTTTATAAATGAAGTCTGCTGAGAGAGGTGCTTTCGCCTTGTCAGATCTGAAGCTGTTTCTATCACCTTTGGTGTACCGAAAAATCGATCTATCAAACTGTACATAAGGAAATGTCTTGGATTTGGCATAAGTTTTAACACTGGACAGTGAATACTATAAAGTACCCAGAAGACGTGGCATTTCAGTGGAGCATTTTCAGAGCAGGATGTGAGAAATATCTCGAGGGTGTTTGTGGGATGTTCTGTTCTAACGGAAATATAAGGTCGGGGGAGTGTTTGGTGTGTTTGGTGTGTTATCCATCGGGATACAGGAATATGAACAATTTAGATATGTGGAAGACCTAACGCCCTCATTGTGGTGAATATTAAAGCTGCGGGATGATCAGAGAGGGTCTTTTCCACATGGGAAGCCGTTATTTATTTAGGTACCGAGTTTATAGACGTGGGAAGTTCAATGGTCATACAGTGATCCTTCGTTTATCGCGCTATATTGGTTCCAACACCGGCTGCGATAACTGAATTTCCGCGAAGTAGGGACGCCATATTTACAGTATTTATTTAACGTGTATTTGGACTTTTAAAACCCTTCCTGTACTGTTAACAACCCACCCATTACAGTACTCTATTAATAACAAGGACAACTGTTAAGCAATAACACTTTAGATTAAAAAAATAAAGACTGTTATTGTATTCAACACGAAAGAAGTTGAAGTAGAATTTGAATAATGATGGTGATGAATTTCCTGTACAGTAGAAATGATGATAATGAAGGTGATGATGACTTCTACTGTGCAGTTGATAATTGCATTTTACGTCTCTTCAGACGGCGGTACCCTTTCTATTGCTATTTTACGTTTGTTTTGTTGTTCCTAGACCAGGAAATAATATTTATTATTAATATTTTAATGGGTTTAATGAAAAATTTTACATGTTCATATACCGCGATTTTTCTAGAATTTTCCAGAAACTCCGCAATATATTTTCCATATATATATTTTAAAAATCCGC